ATAACATCAACAACGCTGCTCGCAACATGCGTGTTGCGCACTCATTCATGACCGGTCTCAATGTCCCACCCCTAGCCCACACCCCCCTGCGCGCGGGCCTTCTAGGCCCGCGGGTAGTCTCCCCCCATCCCCAGGGCCTCCAGGGCTCGCACCTCAACCTCTCACAGACGAGCGCACAGCGCCATAGAAGTACTCTCTTCTCAATAACAAGGCTATTGCTGGGAGGAGGGTGCGTATGAGGCGGAGATGATGGAGGCGCTCGCCGCGTGCGGCGATTGAGCGCCTCCCTCTCTCTCCGGCTGCGCGCCTGACCGGTGCTGCGGCCTCCGAGTCGGAGAGATTTTTGAAAACCAACAAGAAATCACGACTCTCACTTCTTCTTCTCACTTCTTCTTCTCCGACCGAGTCGGCGTCTAGCGCGCGTGATAACGTTTTTGCTCGCCTTCCCTGGGACCCCGTGTTGCGTGACTGTCTCTGTGCGATTTCGGGCCCGGGGTTGTGCGTTTATGTGAAGCGCCACATGACGTATTTCTTCTCAATAACAAGGCTGTGAACGGACCCACGCCACCAACGTCAACCCGCTCGGCGCGCAGCTGGGGCAGCTGACGCCGACGGGCGAGTCCTTCAAGAGGGCGTGGGAGGGCGTGGCGGGGCCTCTTGATCTCCGGGCTCCCGAGGCTGGCAACGGGCGGGCCGGCAGCGCTGGGCTACAGCGGCAGCTGACGCAGCAGCGGGAGCAGGTCAAGCGCAACCAGCTCAGCCGCAGCATCCTCGGGCTGCCGCACGGCGACACGCGGCGGGAGGCGTGGCTGGCCGTCGACTCGTTCTCGTCCGCGTGGGTGAGCTCATGGCCCTCGGCTCAGAACCGGTGCGAGGCGCGCGAGTTCCGCGAGATCTTCTGCACCTACCTCGGCCGGGAGAGCCCAGCCGTGCGCGCGCTCGTGGGCAAGAGCATCGCCTGCTCCGGCCGCGGCCCTCCTCGAGTCTGCGATGCCTTTGGCGTCCAGCTGGGCTTGGCGACGCTCAACGACCGCGCCCACGGCAACTGCCACGACGACATCTTCTCACGCGTGATCGGTGATGCGCTGCACGCGGGGCTGCGCGGCAAGGAGGAGCCGCGCGAGATCTTCAGCGCCGTCATCCCGCCGGTCACGCTCAACGGCACAGCTGGCACGCGCGGCAAGAACGGCATCGTGCCGGCGTGGGCGCCTGCACTGCAAGCTGCGCGAGTCCCGCACGGCGCGCTGCACGGGCACACGAGGCCAGGCGCATCCGTCTGTCCGGTGGCGCGGCACGACAGTGCAGCGCGGGCCCGAGCAGCCGCCGGCGGAGCACCTTCTCGAGGGCAAGACCATCCACCGCGGCGGGCCTCACTACATGAGCGCTCGGGCGCGCGACGATGGCCAGGGCGGCGCTGTCGCCGACAGGGCGAACCTTGTCCAGCGCGACTACGAGGCGCGGGCGGCGGCGCTCGATGCCAAGCCGCACGTGCAGGCATGGAACAACGGCTCGAGGGACGCCGTTTCCTCCGTGCTGCGCTCGTTTGGCACCGTGCGCAGCCTCGTTGTCGGGGCCTACGCGGAGGCGTCGGACGACCTGCACCAGCTGTTCGACTGTGTGGTGGATTCGGCATCCAAGCAGCACTGGAGGCGGATCGGCGCGCGTAGCGCGAAGGAGGCGCGGTCCTACTTCGCTACGACGTTGCGGCGGGCGTGGGGCGTGCACTTTGCGCGCGAGTTCGCGCGGCACCGCATCCGACGCGTGGTGTTCGTGGGGGCCCCGCGGCGACAGCCGGGCAGGCCTCTCGCGACGGCCGATGGCGACTGGCCGGCGCTGTCGGCGGGCGAGTTTGCGGCGCACGCGCTGCGCGTAGGCGGCGCGTGGGCGGGTGGCCCGCCCGGCCGTCGGTGAGCACCGGACGCGAGGGTCGGTCGGTCGGCTCCTAACTCGCTGCATATAGTAGCGATGAGCTCACTAGCTAGAGCTCACACTGATAGAGGCCGTCATCGCATTCGCCCTGGGACCCAGCGCTGACTTCTGACTGTCGTTGCGGTCTATCCCTTTCTCGACTGTCTGAGCTTGTGCGTCTTGGGTCCGTGGTTGTGTTTTTGTGTGAAGTCCCCCCCCATCCCCAGGGCCTCCAGGGCTCGCACCTCAACCTCTCACAGGCCAGCGCACAGCGCCATAGGAGGTATTTTCTTCTCAATAACAAGGCTGTGAACGGACCCGGGAGGGTGGGTTACGCCTGCCCCGGGCGCTGTCTGCCTGGGCACCCCCGAGTGAGGCGCTATGTGCAAGGCGCTGATTCTCTCGCTCCTGCCGGCTGTCGCCAGCGGCGCCTCGTACACCTCCACGCTCATAGGCACATCGTGGCGCGTCCGGCTCGACATCGGGCTCGAGCGAGGGTCGTGGATGCCGAAGAACATCAAAGGCTGGGGTGGGTCGGGCGCGAGGGTGGTTGTGTCGGCGCTGGTGGACTTCGAGGCCGAGCTCGCAAATGAGGCAGAGGAACTCGTGGGACCACGCAGTCAGACGCGCGTGCTCAACGCGAGAGGTGGCGGCAAGATAGTGACGTTTGACGGCGAGCAGGCGGTTGACTTCACATCAGGCGGGTGGTGCGTGCAGCGGCCGCTTGGCGCGCAAGCAGGCTCGGACGAGGGCCTCCTGCGCTTCTGGCTCGACTGCCCGAGCGGCTGCGCCAGAGGCGACGTGGTTGTGCCGCAGGGCGAGCGCATCTTCTTCTCCACCGGCGTCTGGGACGACGCGCAGGGGGTGCGGCAGCTCTGCGAGAAGAAGGCAATGACTGAAGAGCGGCTGCGTGGCGGCGAGGCTGGCGATTCGGCAGGGAAGGATGAAGACCGCTCCAGCTCGGGCTTTGCGCTCTCGCTTCCCGGGGCCGCTTTCCGCCGCCAGGTCGCACAGCAGGAGGCGCTGACTGCGCTGAGAAGCCGGCGCGCCTACTACGAGAGCTGGGCTGGGCTGGAGGAGGGTTGGGAGGCGATCCCGGCAAAGCAGGGCTCGCTCTCGCTCAAGCGACAGAGCGGCATCGGGCTGCTCGGCCGCGCCATCGGCACAGAGTACCACATCCTCGGAACCTTTGGGGCGGAGAGGGTGTTGCGCAGTCGTCCGAGCTAAAGC